ACAGGGTTGGACTCGGACGTAATGGGTTCAGAGTCAGGGGCACTAATAGATACGTGACGCAGACATGGCAGGTTCTGACACAAAATAATTGGATTCATCATTCAATGATGGTACAGGTAACATTGGTGGGGCAATATATCATTTTGTACTATGATATTGTAAACTAAGTAAATGTATATCAAAATTATTACTATTTGTGTCATGATTATCCTGAACTAGTTTAGCAAGAAACATCACCACCAGAAGCTACTACTACTAGTACTACTAGTAAAAGAAGAAAGACGAATACTAGTAGTAGTACTACTATTACTAGTAGTACTAGTAGTAGCTACTACTACTAGGAAGTAACAAAGGTCCTTCTTCTTGGTTAATCCACTCTACTAGTACTAATAGTAGTACTACTAGTAAGCAATTGGTGAGAGCTTCATGCTGATGATGAGGACGACTGACGAGCTTAGTACTTCTTCTTGTTGTTGTAACAAGAAGAAGAACGTGACGAAGGAGCAATTAAAAATTTAAAAACAGTAGTACCACTACGTCACATAGTAGTAGTACTAGTAGTAGTAGTAATAGTAGTAGTAGTAGTAGTAGTACTACTACTACTACTACTAGATTTCCGTTACTAAAATGAAGGTCAGACCTAAGCGTTGCTAAGACGAGCTAAGGATCATACAATCGTACAGTAGTAGTAGTAGCAGCAGTAGCAGTAGCAGTAATACTAGTACTAGTGCTAGTAGTAGTACTATTTACTGTACGCTGGGCTCGGAAACGATACGGGACGGATCATTTTTTTCGATTCACGAATTCTAAATTTGATTTTTTGATCGATGGTGTCATGATGCAGATCATGATACTGGACATGATGCTATCAACGTCAGATACAGCACGGTACGAAAAGTCCTTTTGTCGCAAGGCATTTTCAATTTTCTTCGGAGGGAGTGCGATGCTATTGAACAAAACGTTACAATGATACATCGATGATAAACAAAGTTAGGTGTGATCATACCTTGAACTTTCGCGAGCGGCTCTCTTGTGGTACATTCCTTGTCAATATCTCTCAATCGAAGAGGAATTGATGATGTTCATACCCCGTTCAAACCGACACTGTCTCCTCCGTATCCGTGAGAGATCAATAGTGGCCTGTCTGCCTGGGATTGAACTTCCACTCGGAGKGGGGAGTCCACCGGAACGAATCGGAGTTCAACATCTGCAAGATCGAAGTTTCTCGTCTAATTGCAGGATTGTCCGAATTGGAAATGTAGAAATTTCCATGGGATGTCAAGATAATGCAGCAGGGGTATGCCAAGATTGGTTAGTACCGTCGGGATATCTCTCGAGCAACGACTCACCAGACCAGCTTCCAGAGCATATATCGTCAGCTGTATTACCATCGTATTCTCCTGCAATTCTGAAACATTTACAATGGATGATGGCAAAAGACTCGATGGTACAGGACATGTTCTTGGTGGGTCCACCGGGTGCCGGCGAAGTTTTTCGACGACGCCTAGCATTTGCTTATGCCCAATTGACCAAAAAACCGATTGAAATCTTAACCATAAGCGGGGATTTGACAGAGTCAGATCTTAAACAGCGTCGAGAAATCACACAAAATAATGCTAGTGGCAGTGCAGATACGTCCCCCACGAACATCGAATTTATCGACCAGGCTCCAGTTCGAGCCGCCAAACACGGGAGGCTATTGATTCTTGACGGAATCGAGAAGTCAGAGCGAAATGTGCTTCCAACGTTGAACAACCTTCTCGAAAACAGGGAGATGCATCTGGAAGATGGTACAATGCTTCTGCCATCTCACCGGATCGAGCAACTGTCCTTGTCATCACAACATGAGACTCACGATTCGTCATCATCATTTTTGATACCGGTGCATCCCGACTTTCGGGTGATTGCCTTGGGTATTCCTAGCCCACCATTTCCAGGTCGGAGTCTAGATCCACCAATTCGATCAAGATTTCAAATACGACGAATTGAGAACCCATCTAGTGAAGAATTGTACGAACAAACTCTGGTAGGTCAAAAGTGTAGAAATTCTAAAGAGAACAAAGATAACTATTCATCGTTGGCTAAATCATGTGCCATCCTAGCAAGCGCCATGGAAAAAAATGGGAATCTATTTCCATCAAACAAGCTCCATTCGATTTGGAAACTGATGAAAGAGTTTCCGTTAGAAGATCGTAAAAACATATTGCGAAGAGCCTATCCAGTAAAGGGAGACGAAATATTTGATACAGATGATACATTTGATGAATTAGCGGGGCCCTTAGTTCAAAACCTCCGAGAATCGGAATCAGTCAAAGAGGATAGATCTCTTTCACATTACATGATCAAGTCCGTAAATCCGTGTGATGAAGATGGTGGCTTTCCTCGTGTCAAGATCACCTTTATGCTTGATCCCGAATTAACATCACAAGAATTACCACAGGAACACCCATATCTATTTGCTCCTACTGCTGGTCGCCGCACCAACCTCAATCCACCACATTACATTGCTCAAACCGCGACTTTTCGCAAAGCATTAACAGCTATGATCCAAGAACATGCTGTTGGAAACGATTTCCTTTTGGTCTCATCAAAGGGAGAGGGGAAAACAACTTTGGCTCAAGGATTTGCTGCTACGTTGGGATACGATACGACACATCTGTTCGCCATGAACACAGAAATGACCAGTCACGATCTCCTCGCACGACGCTCCACGGATCCATCAACTGGAGAAACACAATGGGAAGATTCCCCACTCATGCGAGCTGCTCGTCAAGGTGAAATATGTGTGCTAGATGGAGTTGAAAAGTTGCGCCCGGATGTATTATCGAGTATACAGAGTCTGATCGTAGATCGAGATATTTCTCTTCCAGATGGTCGACGTGTCCTGCGACATGATCGTATCATCAAACACAATTCAGCAACCGATGATAACATTGTCACAGTTAACCCATCTTTTCGTGTTATAGCTTTAGCCTCCCTCCCCAAAGGCAAAGATGGTCTTAGGTGGATCACTCCGAGTTTGATGGCCATGTTCACTACGATACGCTTGCCATCGTTGACAGAAGAATGCCTTCGACAAATCTTAAGTACGCACGCTTCTTCACATGCATCTAAAACAGCAATCGATACCATTTTGGCTCTAAGAGATGAATTAACAGATTCTGTCGCTGAAGAGTGCGGTATTTCTCCGTTGTCAACAAGGAATATGGTTCAAGTGGTACGAAGGATGGGACTACAAAACAGTTTGTACCATGTCTTGTCCTCTATTTTCCTCTTTGACCTTCTGCCCCAAAGACAGCGTCGCGCATTGGAAACAGTTTTCAATAGGATAGGTGTTTCAGACTGCAAGTCAAAGCTCTCAACAGAAGACTCAAACTTGGAATCTATAGTTGTGATAAATGGCAACGAGGCAAAAATTGGATCTATGACGTTTGAGCGAGGTGATACTCGACGACCAGAGATGGTACCATCTCCAAATGCATTTGATATTCCAGCTCATACTCAAATCATACAGGATCTGCTCCTAGATTGGAAAAGCGGCGAAAGAGCTTTTCTTCTTCTTGGCAATCAAGGCGTAGGAAAAAACAAAATTGTCGATCGCATTTGTGAAATTGCAAATTGGGAACGAGAATATATACAGCTCCACCGAGATTCAACGATCGGTCAGCTCACTTTGACGCCACAACTAAAGGATGGGAAAATTGTTTGGAATGATTCTCCTTTGATTAGAGCACTCCGTGATGGTTGTGTTTTACTTGTGGACGAAGCCGACAAAGCACCAGTTGAAGTTGTATCAATTCTTAAAGGTTTGGTGGAAGATGGGGAACTCCTACTCGCAGACGGACGTCGAATTTCGAGACAAGGTGGTAGTTCAGACTACGACGTGATAAAAATGAATCCGAACTTCAGTCTTTGGGTACTTGCCAATCGGCCGGGGTACCCCTTCCTTGGAAACGACTTCTTTCGAGAAATTGGTGACTGTTTCAATACAAGAGTTGTGAATAATCCTGACTTGGACTCCGAAATCCGACTTTTGTCATCGTACGCTCCAAGCTTGGAAACATCGGTTATTCACGCTGTTGCATCATCGTTTTCGGACCTTCGTCATCTCTCTGATATTGGTGATATAGCCTATCCTTACTCAACCCGAGAAGCTATTGCAGTAGTCAAGCATCTTGAAAAATATCCTGACGATGGATTGGCAGCTTCGTTGTACAATATTCTGGATTTCGATTCGTTTGATGAATTGACGTACTCGATGCTAGGGCAGACATTTCAAAAATATGGAATCGCAATTTCTGACTACACAAGTCGGAAAGAAGAATTACTCGGATATCATTATCATTCAAAAGGAGATCTAGGACAAGGCTTGCAGATTGAATACCTTACTTTCGGTAGAGATGAAGACCGCAAAAGCCATAACCCTCCAAAACTTTCAGATCCAAAGTTTGGTAAATGGGACGACAAGAATGAGGCACATGTTGGGGGTAACCAATGGGCAGGTGGCACTGGTGGAAGCGACACAGCAGGACTGGGTGGCAGAGGTAAGTGTATCGTATTTCGCACAGATCTTGATATAAAATCTTTTTGATTTGTCATCTCAATTCTGCTCGAGTTCTCTCTACAAAATAGGAGGCCCATATAGGTTGGACAGAGGCCATCGAGTTCATCAAGTCAGCAATGAAGCAAAGGAAGAAGTCTCGGAGCAGGCTAAACTTGTTGCGAAACAGATCGCCAAAAAAGCTCTCGATGATCATTTGCAAAGGATTAAAATGGGTCAAGAAGACTACGAAATGTACAAGGAATTTTCAGCAAACATACAAAATGAGGTATCAAGACTTAAGAACATCCTCGCTAATATTGAATCGCGAGGCAGTGAACGTGGATGGTTGAAACGACAGTCATATGGAGATATCGACGATGCAAAACTTGTGGACGGAATTACAGGCGATAAATATATCTACAAGAGGAGAGGCAGTATTGAAGATTCCCCAATTCCGAAACGAAAACAAATTCGTTTCGTTATGGATGTTAGTGGCAGTATGTATCGTTTCAATGGCTGTAAGTGTGATTGGTTTCCTATAGTTACAGCACGAAAGTGCGATACTAGGGAATGAAGACACGGGGCACTAAGAGGCTTACCCGAGTGAATACTTTTGAAAGAAAGACTTTATCGGTGCAGTAAATGCAGAATCTTTCTCACATTTGTTGCCGATTGTTATCATGCCTTGATTCTGGATACAGATGACCAACGGCTTGTGCGTTGTCTCGAGGCCGCGCTGCTTGTCATGGAAGGTTTCCACTCAGATGTTGTAGAAACTAAGAAATTCGATTATAGTATCGTTGGTCATAGTGGTGACTCGCCATGTATTCAGCCTCCATTTGTGGATTGGTCATTGCCACCAAAAAACAAACAACAACGCTTGCAAATACTTCAAACAATGCTGGCGCATAGTCAATATTGTATGAGCGGAGATTTTACCCTTGAGGCAATGCGAAAGGCAATCGACGAGGTTTCTAGTAGAACAGATGATTATGGTGGCAGTGAGCTCGGCAACCAGGGCACCGTAATATGTTTGAGCGATGCAAATCTTGCACGGTATGGGATCGATCCTGGTCGGATACGAAGTATTATCGAAAGCGGTGTACAGAAGGGTGTAAAGGTATACATAGTATTCATTGCCAGTTTTGGCAAGGAGGCAGACGCTATGATGAGGGCATTGCCTATTGGATCCGCATACACATGTATGGAAACCACTGAATTGCCACGTGCAGTGAGAGAGATATTGACATCAGGGGTCCTAACATGAGCCCTGATCCCGAATCTTGATATGTCAACTTTTTTGTGGGTGAAGCAAATTTAGGTTCAATTATCTGAAGACTATTACGAGTACCTACCTATATGATTGAAATATAAATAAAGGCTTCAGGCAACATGAGTTGCACTCATATTATACTAATACTACTCTAGTGTAGTATTCTATTAGTAGTAGCAGTAGCAGTAGCAGTAGCAGTAGTACGTACTTATGTACTTATATACTGGGGTTATAGGAACACCAAGAAATGATCATTTTTAGAACTTCAGATCAGGAAAATTGGTTTGCTTAGTAAGACACAATTCATTTCTTTACAAAATTGAATGACATATGAGGATCAACATGCTTATTGGCTAACAAAAGTCGAATAACTGAAAAGGGGAGGGAGGAGTAAATCTGAATTTCAGAAATTGTACATTGCTATTACTAACAGCAGCATGGTACTACTAGTACTACTGGTAGTATCCTGCCTGATATGGCGCATAAGTATGGTTCAACAAGGGTGATCATCAAACTCAACTCTGGTCCTGGCAAGACCAATGCCAGCAGTAATACTCCTTGAAAATCTAAATTTGCAAGATTGATGAATTCAAACTGAGATTTTGGGTCAGCACATATCCTCTATTCTACTAGCTGCTAGTAAGTCATTTCTATCTCTAATATTCTTGTTGTACAACTGTTCTAGTACCTCCTGTCTTATCAACTTTGTCTGGGTAATGTTTGGTGGTTTCTTTTGTTATTCTTCTTTCTGCTCACTAGCTACTATTTCATGAAATCTCAACAAAGTGCTAGAAATTGTTTTGGAGATCAGCAGGGTGTATGGTAGTAGTTCTGGCAATAGTGCAGCATCGTCATTCATATGTACTGCTGCCTCTCTGATTGTTTTCTTACTACCTGCATTCAACTTATGTTTTTCATATCCACTACTAATGATAAGAAGAAGGCCACCAGCTTGTCCCTTTATTTGTCATTCTACTAGTAGTAGTACTACTAGTAATATGTTGCACACATAAATGTACCTCCACCCCTAGTATTACTGGTGGTGTACTCGTTTTGAAATGATTATGATCAGATAGGAGTAGGACAAGTGTGTGATTGATGTTATCATTCTCTTACTAGATTATGAGAGAAAATTCCCATCCTAGTATCATGCTCTCTAAGATTTTTTGCCCTTCTTGACTTTACTGGCATCTTGAAAAAGTTACACTATCTTGAGGAGGTTACTAGTCCCAGTATTGAAGGAATTTCCTCAAAATTTTGGATTAAAAAATTGAAGCAACTAACAACTTCTAGTATTGGAGCAGCACAATCTTGCATGTAGCCTATGAAACATATAATACTTGCATTGAACCTCCCCCCATTTCAAAGATCATTGAACAGGAATATACACTGTTGCAACAAACTGGCCTTTCACATATAAATTGCCATTTTGGATTTTCCTTGATTTTCACCCTGAGAACCATTAGTAGATTGTTCTGTTGATACTATCTTTCCCCTTGTCCACATTTGTGCCCTTGTGGTGGTACTTGTTACAGACCACCAGAGTAGCAGGTATTGTTGGATTGTCCTTTCTTCTTGAATAATCAAAAGGACACCAGTTGTTGTGTCATTCTGGAAGAACAATAAGCAAGACATTAGTACCACAAGCAGGGGAAGCTGATAACATGTTCTTGTTTGTCCCCCCCCTCAAAATCTTGTTCTTGACAATGCTGTTGCACTGCCAGCATGATGTTGAATGATTATGCTTCATCCTCCACATCCCCAACACAGTTTTCACTGTTCACCCTCAACAATGTCTTCACTGTTCAACAGAGGAGTTGTTAGCCCAGCTTGATTGATTAAGTCAATTTGTCACCACCAGATGAACAGGAAAGATCATATTTCTCATTATTCTGAACAAGAATTTAGAAAATAGTAGTACTAATCCTACTCCTCTTTATAATACCACTACTAGTACTAAGAACTGATCCTGTTAAGCTTTGCCTTTTGTATTTTGTGGTGACCCCCACAACAAACTACTAGCACTACTACTAGTTCTACTATTACAACTACTAGCATGCCCCTCAGAACAACCACAAAAGCAGACTTCTTATTGGTGAGTTCTTGCTGGTGCTGAGCATCACCTGCTGCTCATTCTTCCTAGCTACTAGTAGATCAAATCTTTTGTTGGTGACAGCAGGAGTTCATCACCACAACAATAACCGCAGGAGTCCATCACCACAACAACACAACAACAGCCCACAAGCACCACCAGCACCACGGCCAGCAATAGGTCAATACTTGTACTACTACTAGTAGTACTACTAGTACGATGACAAGCCCCACCAACAACAAGAAAAAGAAGCAACAACAACAAGAAGAAACAAGAACAACAAAAAGAACAACATCAGACTTTTTACCTCAGCTTCTTGTTAGTAGTAGAAATACTGTGACTACTAGTGCTAGTACTAGTGCTGCTGTTCCTACTACTATCAGTACTAGTACTAGTAGTACTTCCTCGTCTGTCCCAAAATGATGATTATACCCTGTGGCCTTTTTGGCCATCCCAACCACCAGAGTGTCCTCCCCTTCACTATGACTCACTGAAGAATTGTGTACAATTAGTACCATAAATATCTTTTATTAGAACATGCACTTATTTTACTATTAGTACTACTACTAACAACTACAAATCAGCCAAGACTTGCTAAGATTCAGGTCAAGCAGGCAAGTTACACCATTCTTTAATGCATCTGGCATCACAAATGATTGAGATCAGGAGGGTTCAGCTTTTCCCAGATGCATTAACTTGTAGTTGTTGCCACTGCCTACACCAAGAGATGCTTCCATATAAGCTTGAAGCAACAAAAACACTTTATTCAGCATCTCTTCTTTGTACTTGCAAAAAGCTTTTTCAGCATTAGCAATCAAATGATCAATATCCTTACTAGATCATTTCTTGTACTGCAAACTTTGAATGGAATTAAAGAACCCAAGGTTGAGTACATTGTTCATATCAGGACTATTCAGTGGTTGAGTTTCTACCAAATATTCCAACCTTTGCTTGCAGCAGCAACTGCAACATCATCTCTAATAGATTGCTTGTATGGCCTTGCATTCTTGTCATATTGGATAATGATCTTTCCATTTGGACGTCCTCCTATAGTACGCCACTTTTTGTAGATAGCTGGAAGGACTTTATCAAGTGGCATCTTCCTGTACACCTCTCCAGTAACATTCACCAGTGGCACCCAAAACATGACCTTGGTCATGTGGTCCTTGGACTTCAATGTACTAGACTTTGGTTCAGTTTCGTCTGGAAGTAGGTACATGGTCTGCTTTGTGCATTTTAGATAGAACCATTTCTTGTCAGCATGTATCTAATTGAAACAATTGTCAAACCTACTACTGCCATTATGTCAATGTGTTTCAAGATCCATTGAACTCTCTTCAGTTTGTTTTTCTGTCAGCAATGGCTTGGTAGTTCCGTTCTGCTTTTTAGTCTTATCACCATGTCTGATCAGATGATGAAGAGATGTGCTTGGAATAATAGTTACAACTGAAAGAGTTCTGAGATTACCACAGTCCTTAAGAGGGACATCTTTCATTGCTTATTCCAACTCACTCAATGACCTTGGTGTCCTACCAATTCTGTGCTTTCTGCCAGAGACATCACCACCAGCTGCTGGGCAAGTGATTGGATTGGCAGTTGCCTTGTACCTTTTCCAAATCTTTGAGATAGTCTTTGGTGACACCTTGAAGAATGTTGCTGCTACTTCTTTTCAAGCTCTCCCCTTTTGCTACCAGATCTCTGACTAGTTCGACTACAGTAGATTGTTGCTGCAACGCAACGCCTCAATTAAAAAATAGGGGGCCCCGGGAAACAATTTTCATTTAGGTCAGATTTATCTGGCTTTTTTCTGGTAGATTTATGGTAAAAACATTGTTGACTTATGGTGAAAACATTGTCGATTTAAGGTAGAAACAATATAGTCAACATGTGGTAGGAGTAGTAACCCTATCAGCACATGCCATATCTGAGACTCCGATATTATATACACGTTGCCGGTCTAGTATAAATTATACATGGGGGATCTGGGAAGGCTACCAAAAATCGAATAAATCAGATATCAATTAGATATCAATCAGATATTAATCAGATTTAAATCTGATTTGTATTCCTTTTCTAGTCGATTTGTAGTCGAATTCTGGTAGGAAAAAACCGATTTTTGAATAAATAGTTTCCCGTATCCCCCAACTCATAACACACACGTGCCCAATGCTACCACTGGTCGAAGTGGTCAAACGTGCGGTGGATCTAGTTGTTTCAGAACGTCCCAGTGAAATTACTAGTAGTTTTCTGATCTTCTCTCGATCGTATCGCGACTGTTGGGGGGGACCTTTACACTTTACACGATACATAGGCATTCGTAGATTCTACGTAGTTATTGACTGCCTTCGCTCAGTACGGCAGAGTATGGTATGGTATGGTACGTACGTACGTACGTACATACTCGTACTAGTAAGTACTACGCTGCAGTAGACGGCTCGCGAGACGCCCGTTTCCCCCGTCTCTCGATAAAAATAAATTTCGATATGGAATCCCGCGTCCAACACTACGGTAAAGTACCCAGTACGAGTACTGTACCGTACCTGCCCACCCTACTAGTAGCTTCCTGTAGCGGTAGCACTCGTACTTTGCCTTCCTCCATCGGCACCGGAAACCGACACGATTCTTCCGCAGCGAGCGAGTTGTTTCGAGCAACAAGGAAACGACCATGACTCCCGGAGTCCAGCCTTTGGTCGGTGCCGTGAAGGCCGACCAGGAGAACGGTGCCGGGGCCCTCGTTGCGAGATCCGATGGGACGGAAGCTGCCCCGGCGCTTGTTTGCACCCCCGTTCCGCAGGCGGCGGTGCCGGGAACAAGCGCAGCGGCAGCCCTTCCTTTCGACTTTGGAGGAGCAGCAGCATCAACAACAGCAGCAGCAACGATGACCACGACAACGACAACGGCAACGGCAACGACATCCACCACGAACAGAAGCGCAACCAAAAAAGGCAATGGCAAGACACTCGCGGCGAAACAAACCCTGTTGATGGAAAAAAACGAAATGTTTCTGAAGCACAAGCGCCGCTACTGCCGGATCGAGGGCTGCAACAGCATCGTCAAGTCGCAGGGTCTCTGCCAGAGACACGGGGCCAAGCCAAAACCCTGCAAGGTTCCGGGCTGCACCAAGCAAGCCCAGGGAAACTTCGACAAGATGTGCAAGGCGCACTTTAAGGCCATGAAGCGAAAGACCACGCCGATTCCGAAGGTGGTAAACACGGACGTTCCCCCGCCCGCCGAGGGATTTAGCGTGTACGACGAGATTCTGCCGAAGAGCCTCAACTTTGTCAACGACTTTAGCGCGGGCAGCGTCGAAAACGGTGGCAATAACAACGAGGCAGCACACGACAACAACAACAACAACAACAACAACAACAACAACAACATCAACATCAACATCAACATCAACATCAACATCAACATCAACATCAACATCAACATCAACATCAACATCAACATCAACATCAACATCAACATCAACAACAAAACCCCGATCGATACGCGGAAACTCCCGCTGATCGTCCATCTCAAGCACGGTTTTGATACGCTCAAGCCCCCGGCCTGGCACCGGAACGAGGAACGCAGGGCACGAGGAATGTTTCCCATTGACAACCCCGCCGCCCAGCTGGAAGGGTGGGAACGAGAATTGGTCTGGATGGAAATCCTGGTGCTCACGGGTGTTCCCGGGGCTTCCTTTCGACACCTGGCCAGGGCCTGGGGACGAGACAAAGGGTTTCACATGGTGCTGGCCCAGTTCATTTGCGAACGCCATGGGAACGTCGAGCGAAAGAAACGAATCAAGGAAAAGAAGAAAGACAAGGACGGCTGGGACGATCTTTGTGGCAAAGCGAGCAAGAACAAGCGCCGCAAGAGCGGCGGTTCGGCCAACAAGAAAAAGTCTGCCAGAGACAAGGGGTACACCGACGGCGAGACCGTAGAAAGCAGCGGCGAGTGCAACAACGGCGGGAAGAACAACGACGACGTCGGGGCCGACGTCTGGGATCCCTCCCTGTACGGGGACGTCGACACGAACGAGGCCCTGGCGGCCGAGATCTTTGATTTCTCGGAGAAGGAATTCGAGCGGGTCGTCGCCAGGCTGAAGCACACCACCGGCGCGGGCCGGTCGTCCTACGGGGCCCCGAGCGACGCCTCGGCCTCCACCTCGGCCACGAACCGGTCCGCCCACGCCTACGGCGAGGCGCAGGCGGCCGCGACGGCCATCCTGGGGACGCCGCAGCCGTCGCTGCTGCACCGGCGGTCGGTCTCGGCCCTCTCGGCGGCATCGGCCGGGAGCCGGGCGGCGGGCGAGCAGCTGGGGGAGATCCTCCCGACGCCCGTCCACGTCGAGGTCAACCCCGCGGTACCCTCGCAGCCGCGGCAGGCACCGCAGCAACAGATACAGCAGCAGCAGCAGCAACAACAACAACAACAACAACAACAGATACAACAACACCAACAGCAGCAAGCGACGCCAGCTTCGGCAGTCCCACAGGGTGCGGATTTGATGGCCCACAACCACATGGGTCAGCAACAGCAGCAAAAGCAGATCCCGAATCCAAATCAAGTACAAAGAAATACCACGGCGTTTGCTCCGGCGTCCATCCCCGATGCCCAGAGTTATCACGAACAGATCAACACGGCGCTTCAGGGAGAACTCTTTGCAACAGAAGCTCCGACAGTAGGGACACCGGTAGCGGGAACACCCATACCGATGACGATGCCACCTGTAGCAGCTTTGCCACAGCAGCAGCAGCACCCGGTGCAGATGCAGATGCAAATGCAGATGTCATCCCAGCAGATGTTACCACAACCGCACCAACAGCAGATGCAATCACAACGGATGCAGCAGCAGCAGCAACAGCAACAACTTGCACTACAGCAGCAGCAACAACAAGAGCAACTTGCACTTCAGCATCAACAACAGCAACAGCAACAGCAACTTGCACTTCAACATCAGCAGCAACAGCAACAGCAACAGCAACTTGCACTTCAACATCAGCAGCAACAGCAACAGCAACTTGCACTTCAACATCATCATCAACAGCAGCAGCAAACGGCACTTCAACAGCAACAACAGCCGCAGGAGCAAGTTTACCGAGAGCCAGTACAAATGCAAGTGCAAGATCATTCAATCCAAATCGATGTTCGTGACCATCAGCAGCAGCGACAGCTTATCCAGGCATCAACAGAAACTCAACAAAGACACCAAAACCTATCCGCATCACAGCCAGCAGTACAGCAGCAGCAGGTAGCCCATTTAAACGTCCAGCCACCACCCTCGCAATCTGAAAGAGAAGCTCAAGCCGAAGCGCATCTGCAGGCACAGTCACACGCTATTACTCAACACATGTCTGATACAGCCATGCAAGTACCTGCGCCACCAATTCAAACAGAACCACAAGTACAGGCACAGTCGCAATCGTTTCCACAACAAACTACGTATGCATATCCACCTCATCAGCAAGTCCATCAGCAGGAGCAGCAGGGACAGCAACACGATCATAATATGGCACCAATGGCCATCCCTGCTCCCGCGCCTATGGTAGGACAGCAGCAAGATCATAATCTAGCACCGGTACCTATGCCTGCTCCGCAACCTTTGTCGGTGCCTGCCCCTCCTCTGGCACAACCAACTCAATTTTCACATGCACAGACCCCTGTCACTCAACAGCAGCAGCAGGTCGTTCGTATGCCATACTCGCAAGAAAACCAAGAGCACATGCTTCCCACTGGGTCGCACCAAGTAGCAAATGTGTCCTACGAACAACGACAACCGCAACACCAGCAAAATTACGATGCGGCTAAGATTCCTGCCAACTTACATACGCAGCAATCAGGAGCAGTACCAGGACAGATTATTCCTGCTCCGCTTCAACAGCAGCAGCAACAACAACATCCACAGCTTCAATACACGCAACCAAGCATGCCTTCCGCACCCGAAACGCTGCAACTACCTCCACCACAACAGGTAGATACACAGCAACAACCTGCTTATTCGCAGCAAGACCATCAGCAGGCATATAGCCAGGCTCAGCCGCAAACTCAAGATGCTACCTCGATTTCTGCACCGCCAGAACCATGTATTAGTGCTAGTGCGCAACACAGTGTTCAACATTCTTATCCTCAAGAACAACCGCATGACCCACACATGCAGCAGCAGCAGCAACAACAACAACAACAACAACAACAACAACAACAACAACAACAACAACAACAACAACAGCAGCAACAACAACAACAACAACAACAACAACAACAACAACAACAACAACAACAACAACAAAATCTGAACAACCTGACGGATGAATCTGTAGCACAAGATCCACGAAACGTGCACCACAAAATGAATATTACTCGACAGGACTAGCTACGGCAGACCAACAACGATGTAGGCAAGGGAAGTGCTCCGTGTCCACACCAGTCTTACGTTATTCATTTTGATAATGCAACTAGTAAAAGGAACAGTTTGTCTAACCATGTATCTAGAATATATTAGTAAAACGTTATTCCCAGTTTGAGATCTAATAAATATTCAGTTCACATCGGCTTCTCCATGATTCAAGAATCATCTCGTAGTTTGATTGAAAAATTTTCCATAAAACGAAACGTTTCGAAAACGCGCCGCAGTAGATGGACGGATCGAACAATCGATTCTGCAATTGTTGCCGTTGTTGCGTTTAAAAACCGTGCAACACAATGCTAAGAGCGTGGCAGATTTCTTGATCCACAAGGAATTGCTTAACGTTTGTTCTTTGGTCACCAGAAAGCTGGATGACTTCTCCCGCGTCTTCGTCCTTCTGTACGGCACCGTTGCAATTGAAATTCTTTTTGAAAGCCTTGCAAATTCGCTTGATGTCGAGGTCGTCGGCAAGGCCGGCGACGGTCGTGATACATTTTCTTCCGTTTCGCTGCTGGACACGAACGTGGACTTTCTCTTCCGAGGCGCCGCCTCCCTTGTCCTCGGCGTCMTCAAAGGCGTCTGTGTTGTTGCAGTTGTGTTGCAAATGCAGGAAAGCGTAAGCGGGAATTGATGTAAGAAGCACGCGACAAGAACGCGAAATCAACAACGGGATGCGACGTCATAAATGAGTGCTGCTCCAACTGCACGCCGCTCGGATCGGGGGGAAAGTGCGACACGGCTGCGGCAGCGGGATTCGACACCCGTGCTTCCAAAGCAATGGCGAAGACCCCCGTGTTACGTACCGAATGTGTTGAACTGCATAGAAGCCATGGTTTCGATGAATTGTACCGTGCGACAGAGACCAACAAGGTTGAGGGATCGAATACTTTCTCGTCTACAGGAATTGCTCTGGTCGTCGCTGCAGACAACATACAGTAGAGCAGTACGGGCTCATACCGCACCGTACTGCGATTACCAACGCCTTGTTCTCGTATTTGTTGTCCTCTAGAAAAACGGTCCGTCAAACCGAAACCTGTGGTTTGCGTTCGCTCATTCGCGCTTTGTTGTTGAAGAGTTCACGGAAAACTATTTAATACCTACTCTTAGCCAGTTTTTTCAATAGAAATACAAATTACCATGATGTACGGTACGGTACGGTACGGTACGTACGGTACGAAACGTAAGAACACCTACGTACGAACTTCGTTCACATTTAGTGTACTTCGAATTTTGAATCACCCCAGCATTCTTTTCCAAAAGCACATTCAAAAATGGATCAACTTAGCTACTACGGTAGTAGAAGTACCATTCTAGTAGTAGCAACCGATTTGATACTACAAGTAGTTCTACATGCTAGTTCGTACTATTTCCTCAATTGAGAATAATTGCAGTAAGATACAACTCAATCAAAAAGGTATCTCAAACAAGAGCTAGTCTACAGAGTTTTCGGTTGCAACAAGAAGAAGGTCTACTGGTGTTCATGCGAAATAGTACTAACAAAGTCCAACGAAATCGAGCAAAGAACAACCGAGCTCGACTGGCTAGAATGGAGCTGTCCACATTGCTTTTGCCAAGAAAATGGCACCATAGTGCCGCACAGAACGAGCGTTTGATAAGGTGAATCCTACCTCGATTCGAGTGTAGAGAGTGGAACGAAAGGACTAGTTTTCTTCCTTAAACAATATTTTTATTTTAGTACAGTACTTTTTTCCTTTTCAAATTTTGGTTCCATTGAACCCCCTACAAAATCAAACCTGAGTGGGCCACACGACAGGCCCACATATGATATATTAATATGAAAGTCGAATCGGGTGGGCACACACGACCGGCCCCGGCTGTTCGGTTGACGTTGCGTATCTCGCAGAGTGTCTCCTTTCCTGAATTTATACAGCACATGCATTCAAGAGATCCGTTTGACGCAAGAAATGGTTGTCAGCGATACTCTTTCAAAAGCCGCGCGTGCTTTAGTCCTTCTTGGTGCCAGTTGTGACGGAAGATCCTTCCATCATGGGCATTAGGTAGGGTCGTACTCCGGAGCTGTAGATAATCTGGGCGCCGGTGGTTTTTGGGTGGTACAACCAAACGACTAGGCCGATTTTGATGAAGTAGTACATAGGAATTGTGCTGGACAAAAACGAAAAGGTTTCGTCCATCAGGTTGATGGAGCAAAACGTGATCCAGTACATCATCCATTGGGTAGCATCACCGTCGACACCCTTGCCTCCGTCGAGGGCTTTGAACGACATGTACGCGGGGTATAAAAAGCCGATCAAATTAGATAAAAGCTTCATTCCACCGGTAACAATCACCATAAACATGATGAGCGAGCACATTCCCACGAAGAAAAGTGCCTTAGGATACCCAGTCTTTTCCTCGAGATCCTTAAATTTCTCTGCAGATATTAAAAATTATCGCCAAAAAAAAAAAAAAAAAAAACAAGAGGGAAGAGAAAGCACCAGTTCTGTCAGAAAAGTAGCGAAGGTCAACCACACCTAGCATATCACTGAAGAATGGGGGATAGGGTGCGTGCTGCTGCACCAGGTTCGGGAGAACAGTTGGCCTCGACTGGTTTCGTCGCAATCTAGGCTAAGCCGAAAGGCTCTTCCACGTCACGCCCACAAATGACTCGAAGGAAATCCATTGTCCCTGCTTCGCACTTGCTTTGCATCCCGCCTTCCACACAATTCGGCCCATCCGCCCGAATCCTCCGCGGGCAAAACTAAAAAGGTTCACCAACAGCCGGGTTCTCCGCTAGGACGGTACTAGCTGGGATAGACGACATACCATATTGGGTGACAGAAGGGTACTGAGCGATAAAGTTGTCGACCTTCTGGATGACTGGTTCGAGTTTTTCCATTGCTTTATCCATGTTGAGATACTTATTGTTCTGTTCTGTAGTAACGCTTATTTGTTCTGTGTTCTTCCTTATGCAGATGGATGCAGGACGGTACGAATGGAAAGCGTGACTTTTTTCTGTTCGTTTTCGTGTTGTTGGTCGTATTGTACAGTACGTACCGTACAGGAACGAGGAGGGGAAGTAACGACTACCTCTCCGAAACGACGAGCAGAACTCGTACATCATCGCTGAAAGGGTTCTGATCCATGCAAAGTTGCAAAGCAGAAAAAAAATTCAAGTGGCTGTTTTTGCCATGAGTCATTTTTCTGCGCATGGCAGGTCTGGCACATATCGTCGTCGTCGTTGCCTGCTTCGTCAGTCGTGAAATCTTTTTTAGTCCCGCATATCTCGGACGAGGCTTCTCACGAAAGAAAAAGAACTACTTGTACCAGGTACTACTAAGAACTCTTCGAAGGACATCAGATGCGATCAAATCAAAATTTGAATACAACGAGTGCTATCTGTTCGATCGAAGATCGTGTGATACGATGCCCCACGAGTGAAAACCCGTAGGATCTATCCTTAGCCAGGAAACGACAACGATAGAAAGTTGATAAAACAGGGGATTGCGAATAAAAGGAGGAATGAAGTGAATGGTTCTAATGTCTCGGGCAACGAGGCTACTGCAGCCGGCGTTCCGTTTCCAGCGAGGCAATGGAACTGCATTCGAGAAAACTTCCTCTTTTCCTACGCCTGCTTTCACTCCTCGCTGGTGTCGTCCCAGAGCTCTGCGTGATGCCAAATGGCGTCTCGCCAATGGCTGTACTGCAAACAATGATCGATGCTTGTGTTCTTCTACAAAGACCGAAGACAGGGCGACCCCAAAACGCTCCAAACTCAAAGTGACTGAATATCCCGCTATCACTCTGAACGAATCGAGTGATGAAATGGATGGGAGCGTTTACACCTTCCGCAGCGTCGATCGCGTTGCAAAAACAGGCAAACATGGAGACGATACAATGTGGGACACGACGAAGAGCAGAACGACGGGGATTTGCCGGAGCGATTCCATTCTGCGTGCTGGTTTGCAATCTATTCCCAACAAGCTGATAGCGCTGCTACTCCCCGCTCGGTATCCCCAGAGTGTCGCACCGGGATACCTGGGTTTTGCCTCCTTTTGCTTCATTGCCTCGGTGGCTGGATCGGCCGCGATGGTGCTGTCCACGCAGACTCTGTTGCTGGCGGTCGGAATCGTGGGACAAAACAGCGAGGCAGCGGTGGTATCGGGTGCCCTCAACTGGGTCATGAAGGACTTTATCGGACAGCTTGGAGGGATTCTCTTTGCATCGCAAATGGGCAAGACGAAGGCCTTCGATAGTGATCCGAAGCGCTGGCGGATGGTGGCGGCGCTGGCCCTCGACGGAGCCACCATGATGGAAATTCTTGCGCCGATCTGTCATCACTCGCTGGTTCTGCCGGTGGCAAGCATCGCCAACATTGGCAAAAACATTGGATTCCTGACCGCCAGTGCCAGTCGGGCAGCGCTGCACCAATCCTTGGCCACCACGGGAAACCTGGGAGATGTTACCGTGAAGGCGGGATCCCAGAGCATGATGGCATCTCTGGTCGGAACCTCTCTCGGAATCAGTCTTTCCACGCTTCTCCACAACGACACGTTTAATTTTGGAATTTGTTTTGTTTGTCTGTCAGCCATCCACCAGGTGTGCACACATCTGAGCTTGCAAAGCGTCCCACTGGCTCGCTTCAACCGCCATCGATTGTATTTGGCCCTGGAAGAATACGTGCAAACAAAAGGAAAACGAATGCTTACACCCGCCGATGTTGCAAAGAAAGAAGGTTTCTTTCCACTCTTTGCTTCGGATCCCACCCTGGCGTGGCTCAGCATCGGAAAGCCGTTGCAAACCATTTGCCACACCCCCGCCGACCTCGAACGATGCCTCGAGATGACCCCGAACGAGGCCTACCTGATTCGTTTTCACGAACACAAGCAGAGCGTCGATCTAATGTACTTTGCGGATGCAACGGAGGAGGACGTATTTCGCGGCATGTATCACGCGTGCTTGATTCGGGACCAAACCAAGGAGTCTGCGATGGCAAAAACCATGCACAAAAATGGCCTGAAACTGACAGACGATGGTAATGAGAAGATATCGCGGGAACGACAAATCGTTCTGCAAACGCATCTGCAAGTTCAAGAACACTTTTCACATCTATGCAAAGAGATCCATGAACATGGCTGGGATTCGAGATCTGAAGTGACCACGGTCGAGGATAGCAATGGCAAGAGAATCAGCATCGATGGTGTTTGAGAGAAGCAAGATCACCCTTGAGTTCCAAACTGTCTAGCCTAATCTCAAGCCAAACATTGGCACACTTTGAGTTTTAAAACGTACGCAGCGACTAGGAAGAACGGGAAACACCGGAGTGCAACAGCAAGAAACAGCATGCTAACAAAATCAGGGCTGCTATTGAAATGAAGAGATAATGGCGAATAAGATCCATGTGTTTAAAGTTTTTCAACAAGATTGATTCCGAGCAACGACATCAGCAGTCGAATTGTTCCTGCTGTAGCAGTACATATGGTCATTCGGCTTGCCTTGATCTCCGGACTTTCGGCATTGTTGACAGAGCAGTTTTCGTAAAACTTGCTAAACTTTTGACTCGTCTCGAAGAGGTAATCGCACATTCGATTCGTATACAGATCTCTCTCGACCTCGTTCAGCACGTCTGGTAGTCTCACAAGATTTCGGATGAGCTCCAGTTCGGCGTCGTGGGTGATGATGATCTCGGAAGCCTCCGGCCACTCGATTTTGTCCGTCGTTTCTTGCTGGCTGGATTTGCGGATGATTCCGCAGATTCGTGCGTAGGCGTACATCATGTACGGAGCGGTGTTTCCGTTCAGGCTCAGCATCCGGTCGTAGCTAAACTTGTAGTTGGATTCGCGATTCATCGACAGATCCGCGTATTTCACGGCGCCCACGCCGACTACCGTCGCAACCCGTTCGATGGTTTCGTCGTCGGCGCCCTCGTTTTCGGGTCTGGATCGGAGATCGTCTCCAGCAATGCGCACGGACTCATCCAGTAGATCCTTCAGCTTGACCGTGTCACCAGAACGGGTGGCAAACTTCTTTCCGTCCTCGCCCTGTACCAATCCAAAGGGAACGTGCTCGAGCGAGGAGGATTCCGGGACGTAACCTGCCTTCTCGGCGGCCTTGAAGACCATCTCGAAGTGCTGCGACTGCCCGGCATCTGTTACGTACAAGACGCGGTCTGCGTTTTCTCCGCCGTCCTCCCTATCCATCTCGACTCTATGACGGATGGCTGCCAGGTCAGTTGTTGCGTAATTGAATCCACCGTCGGATTTTCGAACCAACATGGGCAGCGGACTGCCGTCTTTGTTTTCGTACTACAGTGTGATGGTCCAAAGAATCCAGAAAGGGGAGAGGGCAACGTTAGCTTTTGTGATTGAGATGGGTGGCTTGGTAGGCTTTTCCTGTCCGAGAGAAACCAAAGGTGTTCGCGATTCTACACTGGTTCGCAAAAAGATTATAAACAGAAAAAAGGTAGCAATTTGTCGCACTTACTCCATCGAGGAACACGGCAGTAGCGCCCTCACTTTGAACGGCAAGGCCTTGTTCCTCCAAATTTTCAACAACGCCATTCAGATAGGGGTTGTAAAAGGACTCGCCCCTTTCTTCGAGACCCTCGATGTTCAGGACGTCGTAGATCTTCTGATACTCCACCCGGGAAGCAGCACAGAGAGCCTTCCACGCCGCGAGTTCTTCTTCGTTGCCGGCTTGGAGCTTGACAACTCCCTCTCGGGCACGTGTTTTAAAGTCTTCATCAACGTCGAATCTCTTTTTAGCGGCTTTGTAGAGTTCTACTAGGTTCCCAAGGTCGACGTCTTGCGACGTTTCGATGTTGAGGGCGGCCGGATACTCGTCCCGCAAGTGTTCAACGAGCATACCAAATTGTGTACCCCAGTCACCGACATGGTTCAATCTCACGACCTCATGACCGGTGAATTCGAGCATGTTGCTCAGGGTGTCACCGATGATGGTAGATCTCAGATGCCCGACGTGCATCTCTTTGGCAATGTTGGGGGACGAAAAATCCACGACAATTTTTTGGGGTTTGGAACTTTTCGGTTGTGCCAAGCGCCCCGCCGCATCTTCGGCCATGGCTTGGACTGCAGCCGTCAGATAGTCTTTTTTGAATCGGAGGTTGATGAAGCCAGGCCCGGCGATTTCGGGTTCTTCCATGCAGCCCTCGATCTTTGGGAGTATCTTTTCGACGATTTTGGCGGCGCACTCGCGAGGATTCATGCCAACATTTTTTGCCAGCCCCATAGCGGCGTTTACCTGGTAGTCTCCAAACTCTGATTTCGTTGCCAGAGTGACCATTGTATCGGACGATGAAAATGGTTTGGCCGCTGCGGCTGCGGCATCACCTATGGCTTGCTTTTCTTCCTCGCTCATTTCAGGTTCGGCCGGTGGTTCCGGCGCGGCGTCAGCTTCTGGCTGCTTTTTCTTTTTCTTTTTTTTCTTCTTCTTTGGTTTGTTCAATTTGGAAAGTGCAGCGCCTCTAGCAACCTCGGCGGGATCGAACAATTCGTTCATGGCTTCCAAGACGGCCTCTTCCACGAAACCGATGCTCTTGATGGCAACCGAAGGCATCGATGGAGACGATGCAGTCGACATGTACAAAATCGATGATCCCCGTGTGACAACGGCGACGGCAGTATTTCCCCCCGGTAAACCGTAGAACGAGTGCATCTTTGCGTCGCCGATGACCCGCGCCGGAGCCATGCTCGTCACCTGTCGCCTGGCGACGCCGAATCCGCGAACACGGGACAAGCGCATCATGTTACCGACGACGGCCATCATGAGGCAGGACGAAAGCTTCATTCTAGTTTCCAATGAATTTCAAACAGCTCGGTAGTGCTGGCGTTTTATGGTGGAGTGATTGGTGGCTTTCGCGGATGACAACAGTTGTGTCGTTGCGTCGTTGCTTTGATGCTCGTAGCCGGTGGAAGAGTGCGCTGGAATAGAATTGCATCGCGTTTCTAATTTCTACCCTTCCACCTTGTCACCTTGTACGTCGTTCGTTGTAGCCACACAACATCATTCATTGATTAAGTACGAGTATCGTACCTATCGTACTGTGTACAATATCGTAGTACGTACCGGTACGGGAACCCATCGTTTTCGATCAGGACTCGACTGACGTACGACTAAAACTTTACATTGTACTATCATATCTACTTTACATATGTCATAAGAATATGATAATAATGTACAAAATCGTACTTCTCCCCGTTCTCACTCTTCCTTTTCCTCTCACGTCACTTGGCTACGTCACGTACGTATTTATTGAGTAAGGTACGAGTACGTACAATAACCACCTCCGACTAGGTCCGTTTTGGAGGACCAAGAAACAAAACAATTGGTCTACAGTTTCGTTTGTATTCAGTACACATGTACTGAAACCGTTTTCGTGTACTCACCATAAGCGAGGAAAATATCTCTTTTGTACACGGCATGATGGCGATGAAGTGAATAAAACCGCTCTGCTCTCAACTATCAGAAAACTGTACCATTGGATATTCAGCAGTTTTATGGCCCTCTTATGGTTATTTCGTTTTGTTTTTAAGACAGAAGGTTTCGTCACAGAGGGCATTCTATAGAACGTGCAGGCGCACGCCGTCCAGTATATTACCGTTTCCCGGAACGACTCGGTGTGGCCATGGAGTGGGCGTTTTTAAAACCTATGCAGAGAGCACCAATACTGGTACGAATGCTCCTACGGTCCCTAATTAAAAAGATGTCTTCGCTGTATGCAGTCTACAGTACTACGGTACGTCCTACCAGCACCCAACGCAACATCGTGCGAAAGTTGTTTTTCTCCGTTCAGTACCAAGTACGGTACGAACAATCGTATCATCCATGTTGTTGTACCCACTAGCGGCTCAGACACTTCTTCCGGATAACGATCGTGAACAGCAAAAACAGTTCTAGAGCTTGTTTGTTCTATTCATAGGGCAAGTTTGTAAACAACCATTTCCTTGCATCGGAAATCAGAAAACTAATCATCTACAGTCTAATAGCAAGCTAAGAAAAGAACATTTGAATTGTCGCAATCGGATGCCCAATGTGAGTTTGTACGGCATGACCGGTAGGCTTTCTACGATCGACGATTTTCGCGTCGGCGCTGTTGTGTATGACACTTACCGTACCAAGGACATTTATGTTTTGTTCCGAAGTACTGTATTTCGTTCCTCCTCACCAATAATTGCCAAATTTGCCGAACGACCCCCTCTGCCTGCAACTTATATCATTGCCGTGTTGCAACCCGAAAACAAAACAGAATCAACAACTCTAAAATCATTGTTTCTTTCCATTGGGTACGGAAGTCAAATTCGTACAAACCAACTCACCTAGACACAGTCAAATAAGACGTAACTAATTCGCCAAGTGTCTACAGTGAAAAGGATTGCCCAAAGATTGAGATAGAGCCTCAATACAAACATAAATTTAACAATCTGTGATGAGCGGAACAGGAAACACTCCAACGCCTACTGCGGGAGAAGGATTTCGGGCGTTTTCGAGTGGCAGAACCTCGAGCAGCAGCGATGCCGCGAAAGCAATGAAGGGTGTCGATGGAGATACCAACACACCAAGAGGGAGAGAGAAACAGCGAGATGCGAGTAGTTCGGAACTTTCCCTCCCTGCCCGATGCATCAACCCGGCTTCCGAAATCAACTCACGCCTGGACACGCAAGTGGAGGTCCGTGTTTACCCTTGCAACAATAGCCAAGGAAGTGGAAAGAAAAAGTTCACAACATTTACGATCAAACCAGAGGTATGTTTCAGGGTGCTAGAGTTCCGTTGTCGCCGAAGAAACTTATCCAAAACAAGCTGAGTTCAGAAAGGAAAAAAACACGAAGAAGAGATCTCTGACCTTGTGTATTTCGTTGTCTTCGTTCTGTTTTGTTTGCTACTGCGAAATGGTTCGTTCCAATTTTTCTCACGCAACAACCTTACGGAACAGGGTGTGATCATCCAGGGTTCAAACAGAAGTCGCAATGCGACCACGATTGATTTGGGCACCGAATACGGATCGCAGGTGGGACGCAAACTCCAGCGATACGAATTGTCCGATACTCGAGCCTGCCAGCTTTTGGTGACGACTCATGCAAAAAGTTTTTGGGTGGTTCCAGCCCCGGAAGCATTCTCTCGCCATTCCGGAACCTGCCGACTGCTTGGAGATCGCAAACATCCGCCCGCCCCGCACACCCTTCAGGTAGGAGACTTCCTTCGCGTGGGTTCTGTAGGTGTGGTTGTTATCGAGACCCACAACGGAGAGGAAAATCGTGTGTTGAGCGAGGAAAAAATTCAAAAGATCATGAAAGACACAACAAACAACAATACAGGGTTTCAGGATTTGGCAGAAACCGATGGTGGTGAGTACAAGTATTGCGATCAACATTTCAATCGAAGATTGAGCTCCTCGTTAATGATCCTGAGATGCTTCTGACCCTAGAATCTTCATCGTTCATTTTTTGCACAGAAAACTCGGATGACTCGCTTGACGGAGGTGTGGACATCGCCAACGGTCGCTCCAATACTGATGGTGACAAACCAGTTTGCTACATGTGTTTTGATGACGAAGATACGGATGAAAACCCACTAATTACTCCGTGTAAATGTATCGGAGATACAGCACATGTGCACGTTGAATGCTTGCGAAAATGGCATACTGCCGAGGCAGACAACCAGATCTGCTTTCTTTCGTCTGTGGATGCGACGTGCTCTGTTTGCAAGAGTACTTTCAAATCTGACTTCAAACTGAAAGATGGTCGACAGATGAAGTTGTTCAAGTCCTCGCTCGAACCTCCATACGTTTCGTTGCTTGTTGCAACTAAACACGAGATGGCACAGCGTTTGTTCAACACTCGCTTCCAGCTTTCTTTTAGCACTCTAATGAAAGCAGATAAGAAAAATGCGACACGTCCACTCCTTTTGGGGCGTTCTTCTGGATCTGACATGGTGTTGGATTACCGCACCGTGTCTGCTCGACACGCTTCCATTCGATTCAAAAACGGAGAATTTGTTTTTACTGATGCTGGTTCTTCCAATGGTTCATATTTGTATTTGAGACGGCCTCTTGAATTGTCTCCATCACAATCTGTTCAATTTCGTTTGGGCAGATCAATGATCTCGATGAAGGTTGTGAACAAGTGGAATCGACGTCTGTTGAGAGCAGTTCGCCGCACTGGCCAATCCGGAAGCAAAGAAAACGATGACGATGCTTGTCTGGACGATCGCTCAATTGGAAGCAACGACGGTGCTGTTCGTGTCACCGATGGTGTTACTGGCGTTGTGACCAGAAGTATTTCTCGACGTACCAGAGAAAGTGTCATGCGTTCGATGCCTCCACCCGGTCAGCTTTCTCAACAATCCGGAAAGCATTTGGATTTGTTGTTCGCGTTGGCTTACCCTCAACGAGTGGAGAAAGACACGAGCCATAGATCGAGTAGCATGGCACGGTCGAAGAAAGAAGCCGAAGTAGATGCTACCCCTTCTATCGTTGAAGACAAGAATGATTATGATGCAATCACAGAGAATATTGTAGCAGGTGGATCATCCTAATCGAAGACGTAAGCGAATGAATTGCATTCAATTATCTTTTTGATAAAACCGGAAGGAAACAAGGATCGAACCGTCAGCCGTGAGCTGTTGTACATTTATTAGCAAAACATTTTTATTCAACGAAAGTGGTTCAGTATGACATGGTGACGCGACTGTAGTTGATAGTTTCGATAAGGTCTTTGCTTTCGTCTCGTGCTTTGCGCTGGTAATCTGACGAGTGATGATTCTGGAAGTCATCGTTACAGTTGGTGGATGTTCGGTCAATTCACCATCGCTTGTGTGTTTCGTTTTTCAGTACGATAAGGTACGAGTACGGTCCATTACGTATCATTAATGATCATGGAAGTCGAGAGAACACAGGTAGTAAAATGTTAAATAATGTACAGGTATTCTTCGAATTCGTCCGGAATCTGCTCTCACCGATTGGGAACGAATCGAATTAATCAAAGAAAAACTAAGTCTTATGAATCTTCGTCCCAAACATGCCGTATCGTACCGTTTCTGGTACGGTACGATTTGCTTCGCTTACTTCACCATCGGAACACAAACGAAAAACTTTCAGAGTTGGTGTCATTATTCTGTTGTAACTGAGTTCATGTGCTGTTCCAATTATATTTCGACAGGTTTCAATCCTGTTGTTGACACAAATTATACATATAGTCCCTCCTGAGTAGAGTTGACTTTTGACTTCGTCGCTGCGAATTATTCTACTGCCTAAACATACTGTGCTGTATGGCCCATGTGAATAGGTCCATGTCAGAATGCACTGCCAACACCGCGGAGGTCGTACTGGACAGTCGGGAAGCAATATATGCGGCCGCCGCAGACATCGAAGTGTTTTCCGACTCAAAGAAAAGGATAATTCTCAGGGGCTGTCATTTGAGCACCACAACGGCGGCTACGATAGTCAAGATTCTTCGCAAGAACGAAACCAGCGTTGAGGAGCTTGTGCTTGACAAATGCAAGGGTCGCGTAGACATCATTCTCACAGTGGTGTTCACAGTCGCTATGCCAAAAGTAGTCGCTATACTATTGGACTATCCTCCTTCCATACCATTTGAACCCCTTGCACACTCACTCGGTGTGGGATTGCTCACCAGTGCGAATCTTCATGAGTTGGAGCTCAACATCGGGTCGAACGGTGGGTTTTTTACTCTGACAGCGGAGGCTGCAAGATCTCTAGAGCAAGGCATGAGTGGGAGCCGTACGCTTTCGAGATTGTGCATCGAGCATTGCAGGTTTGCAGAGAGCAGTGCGCTGCGTATCTTAGCTGAAGGCTTGCGACGAATGAAAGGAACCTTGCGCGACGTTCGATTGGCTTTTTGCTACGAGCCGAACGGACAGCCACTGGAAGACCGGAATGTCGCTTGCTTGATTCGTAGTTTGAAAGATAATTCTGAATTGGAACGAGTCGATTTTTCCTGCAACAAGTGTTTAGACGATGGAATGCAAGCTCTGGCTTCGCTGGTAGACAGTACGCAAATCAAAGCTATTGATGTTTCTTCTCAACGAATGGACCGCAATGAATCCATGAACACCTTTCTTTTAGTCGGAGCATTGGGACGCACCTCAACCTTAGAATCATTGAACTTACAATCGAATAATCTATCTTCGGATTACGATATGGCCTGTTTGGCTGCCGCCCTGACCCACAATACCTCGATCAAGCGCATCGATTTGAGCCATAACAACATTTCTAATTCCGCACTGAACATCTTGTCTTCCAAAATCCCATTCATGAAGGTACTCCAAAGCTTGCGGATAGAGGGAACACCTGCCGCAGCTCTTGATGATAATGTTTCCAGACGTCTCGCAAGCGCCATGAGAGAAAATACCGTCCTTCGATATGTAGTTTGCGATTCGAACCTCGCCGACTACAAAATGATTCGATACTATGCTGATTTAAACTGGAGTGGTAGAGGTCACCTACTGCAAAACCCAGCCAAGACATATGAGAATGAAAACAAGGGCGGCATTAAAACCATTCCATCGTCACTTTGGCCTACAGTTTTGTCACGAATCCGGAGGTTGTCAAAATGTCGGGAACGACGTGCTGATATAATCTACTTTCTGTTGCAACAAGGGTCGCCGGTATTTCCTACCTGAGATGGATAACCAGGAACTTAGTCTCGCCATACCAAACGTCAGGGCCAAATGCGGAAACGCACTGTATCACAAAACCTAATTACTAGTGCTTCTACCCAGTAGTATATCATATGCGTGTACTATATTACTGTAATTGATCTTCCTAATTGTGTTGGCATGAAAGTGTTTTCAAAAGTTTTCCTTCCTTGCTCTTGATGTTGACTCTGTGAGACTATACCACGTAGTAAATCACGAGTGAATAGTGAGTGACAGCAAACAGCGCATACACTCAACACTCAACTCACTCTTTATTGTAAACACGTAGTTATACCACACTAAAGAGCATGTACACATTCGCAGGTTATGAGCAACAAGAGACAAACCTCAACTCATCACCATCATCAACAATCTCTGCGCTATTGCAATCTCGGATTTTCCAGTCGTTGATTGATGCAACGTAAGGTACCTGGTACTCGTACTGGAGTAACTCGTACGATCCGCCCGTTGAGATTAAAATGTGGTGAATCACGCACAACCAAGACTCATCTCACGTCAGGACGAGCGCACTACCGTAACGTGATGTAGTGTACGGTACGTACGTACCGTACGTACGAGGTACCCTAGAGCTAATTGTTACAGTAGTACTGTACGGTACTGTACTACTATTTGGTATTTGATGTTCTGACTGCACCCTAATCTGAAGCATCGAGAAGCTAAAGCTGTCGCAAGACGAAAGTTGGAAAAACTAAAATCTATTTCCCTTCGTGATATCACTACTAATTTTATCTTAGCAAATCAAGAAGGAAGCAAACAATTGAAGGAAATCAACAAACACACAAGACAGAATCATCACATTATGGAAGTAGATTCTACAGGCGATAGCACCGGAGTTGTCGGGGAAACCCGCATCGCCGTACATCCTGTAAGTCAAAACTAAAAGATAACAGTTCGGTACCAACATCGCAACAGCGGTATTTGAATTCTGATTGCAATTTTCGTCTTTCTTCTTCCAACGGCGCCGCCAAATGAAAATTCCATTAACGGTCAATGATCCACAATAAATATTGTGGCAAACGAATCAATCCACGCTTTCCTTTTCTGCTTTTGACATAACATCGCGAAATTTAAGCTTGCCATTGTTCACATGTCCGACCAATACACACGAATAACCAGTGGCGGCTCTCCTATGGACAAAACCGATCCCGTTGTAGGTTTGCTTTTTGGACTTTCCGAAGACCAAACAACCGCAACTACTGGCAACTTGAACAATAGCAACGTTCACGAAGGACCGCTCATTCAGGTACTGGATGCCGACGATATCCCTGTCGAAGTCTCGGAGACCTCAACGATGCAAGTTGACTTGCACAAGGCCGTCTTTCCAAAACACAAGGTAGTTGGCTGGTATCGTGCCGTCGCCTCACATTCCGATGACGAGGAGATTGAGCCAACGTCGGAAGACTTGGGCATTACCAAGCTGTTGAAGAATCATTACACGTCGTCGGATTTGGAGTCCTTTTGCTTCTGTTTGCTCAAGGTACAAAAGGAAAACAAAGGAGATTGCCAAGAACCCGGCGACGATGCGGCAATGAAAACAGAAGATGCTACAACAGACACTCTGAACAAGGAACTCCCCATCAATCTTTACGAACTTCAAAAGTTTAACAACAACACTGTCTTGGTGGGACTCTCGAATTGGCAGCTGGATACCTCGCCGGCAGAACGGATCGCCGTCGAACGTGTCATGAAGGACCAACCACTTGATGGATTGGAAAGTGAGAGTAGCCAAAGTCCCTCCCAAAACCCGTTTATTCTCGAAACCAAAGCGATTGGGCACTCGTTAACCAGTATGAATGACCGAGTTGAGTTTCTTGTGGCATATCTCAAAGACATACAGGAAGGGAAAACCCCAGTGGACCACGGAATTTTACGTCAGATACAACAAATTGTCGGTTGCTTGGGTCCACTTTCGACGTTGGCGACTTGCACTAATGAAGGAGAAGAAAAGGACCTACAGCTGTTAACCCATTTGGCAATTGTGGCCCGAACCGTCAACTCGATGCAATCCTATACCGAAAAGTTCCGTGTCATGAACGAACACAAGACGGCCTCATTTGAACGACAACAAGCCTCCACCTTTCCGTCATGGAATTTCTAAGAGAATGCAATACAAAAATATTAGTGATTTAGATAGATCGATTCAATCGAATGACCGACTGGGGAAAATGTGTCAAAACAATTGATTGTCATTAATCCAAAATGGTATTGTGCATGCCAAGCTAATATTATGCTGCTGTATCGAATGACTGCAATTTATTCTGAAGTCATTGAAGCAAGCACTAGTATTGCATGCAACTAAACTACGAAGAGTTGCAGATATTCGACCTTCTACAACTTGGGGTGTGTTTCTGAAAATTTACTGTGTAAGTCTTCACAATCATTTTCAAACTAGGTATTACGAGTCTCTTGAAGACTTAGAATTTCTGACCTTGTTCGGTTTCGGGAAAACCGAACGGGAAATACTGCATTTTTAAAAATAAATAATTCGCGTATAATTAGTAAAGGGGGTGTAACTCAGGGGTAGAGTGGTCGCTTTGCATGCGACAAGTCGCAGGTTCGATTCCTGCCTCCTCCATTTTGCTCTGGCTAAGGTCGCAATAGACGTTGGTATCAAAATTTGCATTCCGTCAAAGCATCAACTAGTAGCCGTAGTTATTTTTTGTATGATGAAATGACAACCACTATTAACTTTGCTAATTATCTTCTAGTACCTCCTAGTTCCAGAAAAAAAATCTTAATATTATATTTAACCTTGTCAACTAGAAGAGGCACTATATGGCCAGAACCAGAGCCTCTCCGAACTAGGGAGAAGAATGCTCCTACTACTAGTAGTAGCTGCTGTGAGGGGGGGCACCTCCCTCCAAGAAGGAGGTTTTGTGGAGGCATGACCAAGTTTTATGCACACTGGCAGGAGACCAATGAAGGCCCGGGGCTGGATTCAGAGAACATAAAAGGAGTTGGTTCACAGTTTGGATGCATGAGAACCATGCCATTGTAGTTTAAGAGGGCACTGCCAAGCCATAACAAGAAGGCAAGTCACACCACTGCAGTGGTCAAGGAAACAAGTGCCAAGCAATAAAGGCAAGTCACCTCAGATTGGGCAAGGACAAATGTGGTGGAGTAGTCAAAAAGAAAAGAAAAGAAAAGAAAAGAAAAGAAAAGAAAAGAAAAGAAAAGAAAAGAAAAGAAAAGAAAAGAAAAGAAAAGAAAAGAAAAGAAAAG